ATCGAGCGCCGCCGGCGGCGCGCGCCCCGTTGTCCTTTTAAGGCAGAAAGGGCCGCGCGGGAAGCGCGCGAGGGGGCGGGGCCCGCTCGTGACGGCGGAGGTGACTTCACGCACGCGGCGCGCGCCCCCGCCCCGCCCCCGGCCCCCCGCACCTGCCTCGCGCTGCCCCGCCCCGCCCCGCGCGGAACAGCCCCCGCGAGCGCGGAGCGGCAAAGAACATCACCGCGAACATCACCGTGAACAACACTGCAAAAAACACCGCAAACAGCATCCCCGCGAACAGCATCACCGCAAACATCACCGCAAACATCACCGTGAACAGCATCACCGCAAACAACACTGCAAACAGCATCACCGCGAACAGCATCACCGCAAACATCACCGCGAACAACATCACCGCAAACATCACCGCAAACAACATCACCGTGAACAACACTGCAAACAACACCGCAAACAGCATCACCGCGAACAACATCACCGCGAACATCACTGCAAACAACACCGCAAACATCACCGCGAACATCACTGCAAACAACGTGACTGCAAACACAGCCCCGCAACATCACCGCAAACAACATCACCGCAAACATCACTGCAAACAACACCGCAAACAACATCACCGCGAACACAGCACCGCAAACAACATCACCGCAAACACAGCCATGCAAACAACTTCACCGCAAACACAGCCCCGCAACATCACAGCCCTGCAAACAACGTGACTGCAAACACAGCCCCGCAACATCACAGCCCTGCAAACAACGTGACTGCAAACACAGCCCCGCAACATCACCGCAAACACAGCCCCACAAACAACTTCACCGCAAACACAGCACCGCAACATCACCGCAAACAGCATCACCGCAAACAACGTGACTGCAAACATCACCACAAACATCACTGCAAACAGCATCACTGCGAACATCACCGCGAACAACGTGACTGCAAACACAGCCCCGCAGCATCACCGCAAACAACATCAGCACAAACGCAGCCCCGCAAACAACTTCACTGCAAACACAGCCCCGCAACATCCCCGCAAACAGCATCACCTCAAACATCCCCGCAAACAGCATCCCCGCAAACACAGCCCTGCAATATCACCGCAAACATCCCCGCAAACAGCATCTCCGCAAACAGCATCACCTCAAACATCACCGCAAATATCCCCGCAAACAGCATCCGCGCAATCACAGCGCGGCCCCGCTGCCACGCCGCCTCTCCCGTCCCCACCCCTGTAGCGGCGCTGTGTCCATCGCTGCCTCTCCGCACCGAACCCCTCCACACGCGGGTGGAGCGTCACGGCCACCGCGAGTAACAGGAAAAGGGCTTTTTCCGCGTCGGGTTAATTTGAAAGTTCGCTTTTTACAGCGCTTTAAAAGTCATCGGCGGCTTATGTAACTTTTCCCTTCAGCGTCAGAATGAGTGAATTAAAAAGTCGCGTCATCGCAGCCCTGGGGTTCACGCTCTTCTGTGCAATTTTGGAAGAGCTGCTTCACGCGGCGGCTGGCAGGTTGTGTTGAAATAGATTTCCTTTGAAAATTGTGTCAGACGGATTAGTGTGTGATATACAAGGTAACACCTAAGGAGTTATGACTTAGCACCATTGCAGCCTGTGACTGCAATAAGGCTGCGAGCTACTCCCTCCCGGGCTGACACTCAAACCGAGCCCAAATATGGATTCCCRCCTTTTGAACTACTTAAAAGTTTGTAAGTATCCCACAGAAACAGCTGCAGCGTGGGCACAACGTGCAGGTGCTTCTGAATACACTAAAATACTGAAATAATGCCAAGGATTATTTCTATAACGATTTTTTTCCCCTGATAGTAACTTTTTCAGTGTAATCCTGATTTAGGCACAGATTTAGCAACTCACCAAGAACTTTTGCTGAAATGTTCTTTTTGCTTCCATCAGCARCATTTGCT